GACCTGACAACAGCCGTATGACAGCAGCCTGACACAGCGCCCTGACAACTGACAGCAGCCAACTCTGACACTCAACCGTTTCTCAATGATGCCTTGCAGCTCGGCCGGGGAAAGGTCCTTGAGGCAACAAGCCTGACACTCATCAAGCGCCGCTGGTTTACAGCTGGCGTTCCTGCCGGGGCCTCCCCCGCCTAGGGACTGACGCACGCTGCTGACAGGCAGCCTGTTGACGAACAGGCTTGACAGCGTCGGAAACGCTTGACACTGGACACATTCCTCACCGAACCTTTTTTCAGAAGCCGTTTTGACGGAAGACTGACCAACCGAGCAGAACTCAGCGAGCGACTACGAGCTGATAGCGCCTGACGGCCTGAAGCAGGCGGACACTGAAAGGCTGTACGGAAGCTCACAGTCCCAGAGTGCACGCAGTCTGGTTGCACACCACTGCTCTGACAGACACGGTGAGTCGGACGTACATACGACTCCCTCCCACTGCGTGTGTGTCAGTTTTGACGCCCTGGAGCAGAGTCGGACCCCAGGCCCTGACACTTGACAACAGGCCGTGACATTACAGCTCTGGACGACGGAACAAACAGTCCTGACAACAGCCTGTACAAACAGCCTGAGTTTGACGGGAGTGGGGAGCGCAGCAGGAAGGAAGGGCAGGAAGGTTTGTCCTCGAGAGCTGATCACTCACAATTGCCCTGTACTGACTCTCCTCTCCTGCACACCATCGCTCTCCTCACGCCGCTTCCCACCCCGACACCTGGACATACAGCCCGCCTTGACAGACAGCAGTCGAGACGGAGCAGGTGGGGAGGTCAGCCGGCGGAAACTGGACAATCAGCCTTGACAACATTAGACGTTCCCTCTCGGAGCCCGGCTTGCGTACACTGAAGACTAGTACGCTATGTACCTAACAGATGTTTGGCTCGTTTGATCTACATTGCCATGGCCAATATCATAAGACAATACAAGGTATTAAAGTACAGGTTTTCAATCTGCTAGTCACTGTGATATGGTTAGCATTGTGTCTCTGTTGTTTTGGTTCGTACACAGTTGACAGCAGCCTGGAGCACAGACAGACCTGACACTGACCAATACTCATTTCAGCCACAAGAGGATGAGGTGCATCACTACATGTTTTAAACAGGACTGAAAGCATTTTAATGAGTTTTAATTTCCCAGATTAAAATAAACGTCTTTTTACTTAGGTGTGGAGGAATAGTAACAGCTAGCAGTGGAGAACCGACAGCTCTTGATTTAACCAAGTGAAGCAGGAACTATGGTGGCTCCTGTCTAGTTCCAGTGTTTGGTTTGTACGTTC